CCTTGTTTCAACTTTTTTGAGTATGCTGGTACCTCCATGTTTAGAGCTGGTTGTAAAATGAACGGATTTATTCGCATTTATTTTCAGTGTGTTTAGGGACACTTTTCATATAATTTTCACGTGAAATGCAATTTTAAGTTTGTATAAGTTGTTTTCCCAAGGTTTGTCGTCGTCGGATGTCCGGTTTCAATATTAGGACAAGAATATTACTTGTTTCTAAGACCACTCGTACAGGACCTCACAAATTCTTGGAAAATCGTGTGTGTTTTTTTTTAACTCGTGCTGCTCAGAGTTTTGTCCACAGTTCTGTATCTTTCATGTGCGTAGTGACCGCGTGTGTTTAACTCTTTGAAGCCTAAGATCGTCTGAATATTATTTATGAATTCAGTCCGTACCGCGAAGAAAACACTGCACCTCACCATTACGAAAATCAGCTTCATAAATAATATTCAGACGATCTTCGGCTTCGAAGAGTAAGTTTGCACAGTCACTTACTAATCCGTTATTGTGAAACGACGTGAAGATAATTCGATATCATGAATCGTTGGGCCATTGATCTTAAAGTCAAGAAGGCACTTGGCAAGGCACACGGAGGTTTGGTACAGGAACAGCTGCACGCGACAGATAGTTATTTTTATATGTTATCGGCTTTTTACTACAAGTGATGTGGCCGAAAGCCCAACCCACAGACCCCATTCCACCGCCTTCTTGATGACTAGCAAACAACACAGCGCTAACATTACGAGGGAATTATATTTGTCGATACGAGTTCTCTGATAGTTCGTTTGCTTGGACGTAAACGTAGATGCTGATACTTCCATCGCCTTACGTTCGTAGTGGAACTTCGTCATGAAACGTGTTCATACTTCACTCGTGTTACATCCAGATCCGACCGGCGCCGTGAAAAATGTTTCGTAATACCGCCATAGCGTCATATCCGAATCGCGTAACAGAAAGGTAGCTGGTAAATATCCGAAATCACACGAACTGCGCTGTACTTTAACATGAAACCACGGTTCAATGCCATTAATTGGGTTGAAATTTGAAACTCTCGTAAATTTAGTCGTATATTATAGTTTAATTGTCAGGAAACTCATTTTGGCAAACGCGGACAGAACACGTGACCGTCTTCGTATGTTTTATCTGGTCATAAGACTTTTAAAAGTGCCAGTTTTAATTTCAGGTTAAAAATTAAACCTTTAATCCTGCTAACATTTTTCCTACATTCCCGTTCCATCCCCTGGGACGGTATTTTGTGTTTGCGTACGTGTGATCAGATTGCACTCATACGTTTAGTCGGAAAACCAAGAAGGGAAGATGTCGCGTTGGAGAATTACGTGTGGATGAGAGGATAATATTAAAATGTATCTTAAATATGATGGAATGTATACTGCACTCATCTGGCACAAGTGACGAACCTATGCTCGGTTATTTCTAGTTGACAGGGTCCAAGAATCCGAACGGTGGACCTAGGTAACAATTACAATACTCGTGCCAACTCCCGCCTCAGATTCCGTCTCATTGTCGTTACGTGAATATGATAGAAATTCCGTACTGAGGCCACTTTGCTCGCGGCTAACTCATCACCCTGATGATGGAGGCATCAGGGACCTCTGAGACGTTGGTAAACTTCTACCAGACTACACCCAGAAGACAGCCGTGAAGGCCTCATCAAATATGGGGCTGTCGTCTTATGTTTTGGGTTTTTCCGTCGAGGACTTTGACTTCGTAATTTTTGAAAAGCTGTAAACTTTACAAAAGGCGACCATTGTATCGTCGTTATATAATTTTTGGATATTTGCCAGCTGGATCCCATTTTCTCTGTGTCATGTATCATCGTACGGACAATGTGCTTTGAAATCTCCTGTTGATACTTTTTGTACGGAAATACGCTCAACTTAAATTTGAGGGATTTCAGGGAAGAGTTTTGTCTTTGTCGACAATTTTTTTTTTGACAAGAAATGCCCTGCTTCGTCACGAGAGAAACGAAAACCTTTGCTAAGGAAAACGTAATGGCCTATGCCTTTTTCGCAGTGGCATTCAAGTGAGTTAATTAGTTTGTTTACATGTTGGCAAGCTTGGAGGGCGTATTTGGATTGGTGTCAACTTGTCATAGTCCTGTTCGTAATTTGTAGATCGACAAAGGGATTGCTTTGTCAGCTGTTTCCAGTGAGAGGTTCAGGTGAGTCGTCGTCACACATCCACGACATCGCAGTATTGAGGGACCATTTATGTGATCGTTTTCCCCCCCATGATCGGTTATTGGCATCATGTGCACTGAATATTTTGACCCGTAGCGTGGAGTTAAACTTTGAGAGTTGAATCATGTGGAAATTATTCCATTAATTCTGTCGTCGGTAATTTTTTTTGTTTGTTGGATTGTCACTCCTGCAGCTGTAGACGTAAACATTCACTGCGCTGCACAATTGCTCTAGGCTGTGTTTTATCGATAAAATGGCTCTAGTAAGTGTTTTGTTGGTGTTTTATCCTTTCCTTCTTCGACTTTCCTTTTTGTACTACAGTTACCAGTAGATGTAGGTACAGTACGGTTTCTTATACGTGACCGCTATAAATGTGATGCGCAGTAGATTTCGACAAGTCCAGTAACAAACGTAAGGAATTAAAGGGGATTGTGGGTTTGTTCAGCGACAACGAAACATTACTAACCCACTACACCGAGAATTTCAACTCCCACTTCTCTTTCCATTACTTCCCCTCGTGGGCTGATGAACGGCCACGTCAAAAAGATTGAACTGTACCGGATGACATTTCAGTTTTACGAGTAATGGGTTCTTGAGTGGCAGGCAGTCTCGTGACAATGGATTTCGTTAGAAAGAATTGCGCGCTTGCAGTTATTCATGTAAGACACACAGGAAATGCTACTGGTTTGCTGGTTTATGAGCTGCCGTAGGTTCTGAAAGCTGTGACGCATTGTAACGTGGTGAATCAACTCCTCATGTCTTGTTATTTTCTGG